TAGACTGTGCCATTATCGGCGGGACTGATCGACCATTACATACATGTTAATGAGCACCTAATAAAAGAAGGCATTTCGCAAGTCTTTTAGGAAAGCAAAGGAGGGAAAACCATAAAGGCGGGTGAGTAGAGCTGAGTTGCTCTAAACTACGTACGCTGACATATAGATTTTGGGAGCCAGCTTTAGTATGATGGACGATAATTGTAGGAGGTAAAGAAGGTTGGTGAGATGGCGTATAGTGATTGAATCACTTTCGTACCTCTGTGGAAGGCGTTGTGCAGAAACCTTGCTTTGAAATAGAGTGATATTCTCTAACAACCTCCACTCCATAAAAAATTAAAATAAATCAAATAAAACTAAGACCTCAAGATAAAAGAACATATGGATTGGGAAAAAAAACAAGTAAAAACAAATAACGTGCGGGATATTGAATTTCCACTGTTTTCACTTACCCGTCCTTAAACTCTTTCGTATTCATGAAAGCGGTACAATAGCGACCCATTTTCTTCGTTGTTCTCAGCCGACCAACAGGAGGAGCCGAATGGCGTGAACGGTTTGCATATCCACTTAGATGGCACAGGTAGTACCTGAATGTGAAAGCTCACAAGAAGAATGCGCATGTAAAACCCATATGACTCACGACTGCACAACTCCACTGGCTCTTGTTCGACTCGAAGAGAGTACGAACTTTGACACTGTTCCTGTCTCAACTTCGTTTTTCCACTCCTCAAATAAATGATGAGTCCACAAAAGAGCACAAAAAAAGACCTCACTTTGAACTTAGACACATCAGGGAATTTGAATTCTTCTATGACTAGATCTTCACGACCATGCTCTTGAGCGACGTGCTCGCACAAGGTCGACATACGATCACAGACGACATCACAGTGGGGATCCCCGCATTCAATGGTCGTGCCTCTAAAAGAAAAAAATACGAACTATCCTATAAAAATCTTAAAGGGCCAAATAAAATTTGAGCTTACTTGGCATAGGCAGGCTCTGCGTGTTGCTCTCTTACGTGACGGTTCATAGTCACTCGCGATAAGCACCACTTGCCACAATATTTGCATTTTGCCTTAATCCAAAACAATAAGAGGTAC